CCTTGGTGACTAAGCAAGAGGGAACAAACAGGATTTCCTTAACTTTTTGGAGTCTGGACTACTGTTTTTCATGACGGTCAAGGTTCATTTGATTCAATTGACAGGATAAAGTAAAGTAGGATTTTGAGTTTTCTAATCTCAAAGATCTACCATTGCCAAAAAGATGAAGGATCCTACTTTGAGGGGGAAAAGATCCTAATTCCCGAGAGAGGATTGGAAGACGTGAGAACCATTTCACCATTTTTTTTTGTGTACCAATTTCATCTAATATTAAATTATTATGAAAATAGTAGTTATTTTCTATGAAATGCATGTTAAAGTATGCACATATAAGAGCATTTTTTTAAAGTCAGTAACAAGCATGGATTTAAATTGCTCTCATCTAACCATAGAGCTTTGGACCTCCAAAATCTTCATTCCAATTTCTCTCCAATGTCCGAAAATATTAATGTCTTCAGATGTGATCTCTCTTATCATGTTTTCCTTGATGAAAATTTCTTTTTCAGTGTACAAACGTATTATCATCATATCTATCAGCCTCTCAAACATTTACCAAGTATTTCCCTAACAACACATCATTTCAAAACTAGGGGACAAGTATCTGTCCACCGTTGACACATGCTCCAGTGAATCTAAACTAAAAATCCTTAATAATGTTTAAAGAAGTCCATGATATGCAATTCAAAAGGATAAATTTGAACAGTTTACAATAAATGATATTAGCAATAAGCAGCTCATTTTGGAGATTTATTATCACCAATGTATTTCCAATATAAAAATAACATCATGATTCATATTTGCAAACCAGCAGCCCAGGTAGACTGGGGTTCAACTTTCAATACTGAAATATAAAAATAAAATTTCTGTCTTCCTTTTAGAGACAATAAAGGTAATCAGTTAGTAATGAGATAATCCAACGAAGAAACGGAACCTCCCAGTCATGATGTTTAACTTCCATTAAAGAATTCAATACCCACCACTGGCCCAACATCAGCACTTACCAAAGGAAAAAGTCAAGTCCCAAAAGTTTCCAATACCCCTTTTTTTTGCAAAGAAAAAAAAAAGTTTATGTCCAATCCCACAAGTTTCCAATCCCTTTGTCTATAGTTTGGGAACATCCACTGAACTCCAATGCTATAATCATAATTTTGGAATTAAGTGATGCAGAAGGTAGATATGATATAGATTTAAAGAAAAAGATTAAATAGAAGCCATGAAGCACAACAACAACTAATGGGCATAAAAATTGATATAAATCAATGTACAAAACCAGAAAAAAAAAAACCCATGGCCAGACAGTTTTACAGTTCCAGAAGTAGAATTTAGCCAAGCAATTCAAAATGAAACATACAATTCCAAGTGAAGACACCCTTACACCAAACCTAAAAACGAAAGGCAACTCTCTTACATCAGGCTATAATCTCTTGGGATATTAAGGAAACACTAGTTTAAGTATATGCTTTATACATGATCTAAATTTAACTTCAATTCGGAGTCAAAAGAGGCAATAGGCAACTTTACCAAAGAAAGGGATCGGACAACAGCATTATCTTTCAAGATGACTGTTGTGTGTGAGAGTCTCTCAGTCTTCTTACCGAGGTCAGCAATTTTCTCACTAGCCCGTATCAGTTATAATTTTAATCATGGGTAGTTCATATTCTCACTAAATCAAAATTGAAAGGAACAGTATAAATCACTCAAAGAACAAAATGAAGCAAAAGCATTGCTGAATAAAAGAGAGGATTTGAACCTTGGCAGCCACAATACGACCAATGTGAGCGATGTCACACGTCAAGATAGCCCCACACTTAATCCGCAATAAGCCTAAGTCAAACATAATCCCCACAAAACCTTGGCCGTCAGGTTCAGGGGATCACCATGAGGACGATTCGAGTCCCCAAAAAATTCGTCCTCGCGAAGCCGTCGCGGGTGAATTCCAGCTGCTGGTCGAGGAGATGCAGAAAAATAGGCGGAGGGACGGAAGGATGCGTGAAGGGTCGCGGAGAACGGAATCGAGCTCAACGGGGATCGGGTCGCCAGCGATACGGGCGTGGGGAAGTGGTGGAGGCAAGGGAGCGTCATCGATCCCAGCGAGAGGTTGTCCATGGCGAAGCTCTCGCATCAAAGATTAGAAGCAAGAACAAGAACTCTGATATAAAGATCGAAGTAACAGGAGCATCAGCAACGAACAACGACAGGACCTGAGACGACAATAGCGGCGAGCTCCCATCGACGGCGGACAGAGAGAATGAGAGAGAGGGCGCAAGTAGAAGAAACCCTAACCGGAAGAAAAGGCAACGAGGAGACGAGACGGAACAATAGAAAGGGGGAGGAGAGACGAGCAGCGGCCGGTGGCGGAGGCGAGAACGCCGAGGAAAGAGGGAGTGAACCTGGACGGGATTATTGGCCGGAATCGATGCTGGCGTCACCAGGACCGACCGGTCACCACCGTTTTCCGTCCTCGTATGTCCTTTGCTCGTATCGCATCGGTGGACTTGTGTTCCGCTCCGTTGCGCCATTATACGATGGGATCGGCTGCAAGATATTTTGTACAGATCCTCCGCGAGGCGAATAACATCTCAACGCGTGTGAATACTGTCGTTTTCTTTTTTATTGATATCAATTTACGATCAGGTCCTCACAAGATGAGTTCACGAATCTTACAGATAGGATGATCCATGGAGTATGTATTAGACTGCCGGCCTGCAGACATCCAAAGCCTGGTTGATGGCCCAACTACGATCAACCTTAATCTATATATTAATTTAGATCAAATAGATTACAGCAAGAAGAAGAAGAAGAAGATGATCTTGCAGATCTTTCCAAGCTCAAATGATGCCAATAATGGCACCCACCACTTGGTCTCTGTGTTCCCAGGACGAAGCAGCAAGCACATGCCTTTGCTGCCTTCGGCCACCAATGACCAGTTCAAAGGGCAGGAAGCAGTCAGATTCCCCGCATAAAGCCAACGCTTGGCGAGGACAGCAAGCCTTGGGCGTGGCCACCATCAACAGCCCCGTCTCTTCTTTTCCTTTCTGCCCTTTTCCTTGTTTGATGATGGTGTTGGGTTGCCCCTCTCAGGCCTCTCCCCTGTCTTCTTCCTGTTGGATCGACGTTGAGTCTGGCCGGTGGGGCCATGTTGATGTCCGAAAGCAAACCCTCTCGAAGAGCAGTCAGCTTCATTCAAAGACAGAAAAGATAGCAGAATGATGGGCACTAATGGGAGCTTGGAGATCTCCTTTACTGTGACTCTGTGATGTCTCTCCATGCCTTAGTTATAAGGCTGCTCTCATGGCACCCAAACCTAGGCTACAAGAGAACTTGAAGCTCAGTGGTAAGCTGATGGTGATCAGAAGATGCTTGTGACAAGGAATTTGTCACTGGTTTGATCTGCTACTTTTTGTGTTGAGAGGCCTAGGACCTTTGATAGCTTGGTGCAGGCTATGTTCCTTGCAGAAAAAGGGAGGATACAGGCTAGGGTTTCAGGAGATCACACATGCACATGGGTGAACAGAGAAGCAAAGATTGTTGTCCACTGAGTAAAAAACTTGAAGGTTGCAGATAAAATGGAATTCATCATTCTCCTTCAGAACATAATTTGTCTTTATTTTTTCTCCTCTTTTTGATGCTTTCTTCAAAGGAGGATAGATTGAGACTTTGAACTGCCAAAAGCAAGACTCTGGCTTTCTTCCTTTCCTTTTAGAACATCTCTGGCTCCCAGTTGGGTTATATAAACAACAGCACATTAGCTGCTAAATTGTAGATGGAATTTTTGAGGAGGTTCAGTGGAAATACTAATGCTACATCAGCAAGGGCAAGAAATGTGGAGGAGATCTCATAACATGCAAAGGATTTTGATCTCCTTAAATGTTAGTGCAGTAAGTCCCAAGTCCAAACCAACAAATTCACAGACAGCAAGGATCATAAGATTGTTTTCTGAGATGAAGACAATATGGCATGGTCATTCTGAGCATGACAAGAGAGGATGTCACTGATACTTTTCTAAATCTAGCACAAAGAACAAAAGGTTCAGAAAACTATCCAAAGAGTGAATTAGGATGTCCTGCAAAACATGGCCTTTTCTTCTGCACCTTCAATTAAAGCAGGAAATGGCCTCATACAAGACTCAGGACCACCAACAATTGGTTACATCTTTAATGCCACACATAATAGACTACAATTTGGGTTGATTAAGCAGTATGCCTTAATTCTACATAAGTTTAATCTTCTTTGTCATGAATGCAGAACTTAGGGTCCTCTGAGAAAGAAAGCAAAAGCAAAGTTTAAACTATGGAGGGATGAGGCTCTGTTATCTGAAGGATTTCAGTCTCTTTCTTTTGCCACTCAAAAGGAACCAATGTTCTTGCTTTGGCAAATCTTCCCAATGGCTGATTGCCACTGTTTCTTCTCTCTCTCTCTCTCTCTCTCTCTCTCTCTCTCTCTCT